ACTGTCTGTCTCTCTCTGTCTTTCTTTAGGGCACATAGCACAGGCGCCCTATAGCAAAAAACCTCTCTCTCAAAAAAAAAAAAAAAATCCAAAAAACAAAAAACAAACAAACAAAATATTCCAAAAATTTAATAATGTAATGATTGTGCTGTTTCAAAAGTGTATTTGGCCGGAAGTAAAGCAAATGAGTCATAATTCAAAATGATTTACTACTGAATACATTTCAAAGGCAAGCTTCTTTAGTGTTTGAAGAAGTTTTGACCCTAATGTGTGTAGCATGGTAAGAAACAGTAAACATGCTTTATGAGGCTTTATAAATCATATCTCTATGGACTATGAATCGTCTGAAGACAAGATGGAGACAAGGAAGCATAGAAAAGTGACAGAAGCACATTCTTTATTACCATATTCGTCAAGCTGTTCTAGAATCCTGGGAAGTCATGATTTCTTAGGATCAACAGGAAATCTTGAAGAGTAATATTAAGATAAAAAAAAGGAAAGAAAGATTTCATGGACACTTGGCTACTTCCTAGCTTACTATAATTTGATTTTTTAATAACAGTAAGACCCCTGCATGGATTTTATTCTTCATATGGCTCCCTCTGCTAACCTTTCAAGTCTTTCCCCAAATCTCACTTACTTCTCTCCCTGCAAATTTCTGGCTCAACAGACAAATGGAGGTAGGGGTCAGAGATGTGGTCCATTGATCACAAATATCTAAAAATCAAGGGCATGAAGAAAAGGCACCTGGTTTGTTGTAGGGTCAGTCCAGGAATGGAGGGAGACGGAAAGTTACGGAGTATCTATGTAGTCTAGACATTCCCTCCAGCCAGAGGAGGAGCTTTTGAGGCCAAAAAAGGCTCTCTGAAGAGCAGCTTTCAGGGTTTCTGGGTGCTATTCACTGAGGGCCCTCGAGAGTCACTCTGGAAGAGGAGGCAACAGACATCCTGAGCCAGGGGACCTCATTATGTGTGGGGCACATTTACCAGATTACATGAGCTTGTGCTTTGGGAATCAAAGCAGTTTTTTATTGCAAGTAGAAGCAGCAGTGGCTTATTTGTCGGGTTTTATTTTTTAAATAAATATTCTATTTTTATACAGTTGCGCATTGGAAAACCATGGTTACAAAGCCCCAGTGAGCTCTAGCTATGAACACTGTCTTGGATTCCAGGAAACTAGGTAGCTCTCCTGTAGTTAAGAACTCTGTTCATTATTAGACCCTGTTCCCTCCTGCAAGCCATCCCCCGAAAGGGAAACAATCACTTCAAGCTATAGGATTCAAAAACGGGAAATCAAAACTCAGTAGGCATGAGAAACCTTTCTAGACCATCAGAAGACCACTGAGAATGTCCCAAACAAATACGTGCCGCGATTTTATCCTAAGGGACCTTCAGGCAAATGACTACATGTACTGAGTTTCATGAGCAGACTCTGGGGGTATCTTGACATTCGTTCCTCCACCCTAACCCCAGGCATTATTTTTCACCCTTGACGGCACCTTTTATATCCAGTTCATCAGAAGAGCCTAAAAATTCTCTCCTAAGTTAATTTTTTCACATTCAGCAAAAAATAAAGGCCCTCCATTCATCTCTCAATAAACTTTGAAAAATACCCCTCGTAACTTTTATTTTTGTTTGTCTGTTGTGTCTCCTCTCCTTCCTTCTCTGCTAGAATTTGGGGCAACTTTTCAATTTAGGAAATTGAAAAATAAAATGGTTTACAGCCAATATAAGAATGCTAATAACATTTGCTCTTATTGCTGTAAGTTTCAGATGTATAAGAAAAGGACATACTAGCTAAACTAGAGTTTCTTAGAAAACTCAGGATTTAAAGTGTTTTTTTTTTTCATTATTCATGATTGAACATGTGTGCACATATGTGAGAACGGAATGAGAGAGAGGAGCATCCGCTATAATAAAATACATGCATGGGTTTTATTGTTGTTAAAGGATCAAATTATAGTAAGCCGGGAAGGATCCAGGTGTCTGTGAATCTTTGGTCTGGTCATGCAGCAATCTCTTCCTTCAGGCCTCCAGCCTGTCTGATCCAGGGCACTCTCACATGACTGGCAAAGAATCCTTTGTTTACAAGTAAGCAAGAAATGAAGGAAGTCAGCGGCTAGGGTTCTGTTAAAAGGCCAATGGCCCAATAATCTCTGACTCCTAGTCAGCAGGTTTCGTAAAGCAGGGCCTTAAAAACAGCTCAAGGGGCTGAGCACTAGAAAGTGCCATGTTTCTGGGAACTGTGTTTGGTGGCTTTATCTCAGCCTTGCCCTAAGCACGTAAGCTTG